GAGAGGGGTGGATGTGAATATACAAACAGGAAGGAACTGATGTTCTGAGGTACTTGTAGAGTATTCAATTATGAGATTATGTTGGGGCTTGATAGAGGATACCACATGGACCCTTCAGGGGGTAACATACACTCTCTCACACTTAGTAAAAAGAGAGGGTCCTTACGTGTTGTAGATCCAATACTCACTGGATCTGACTAGTCACTACCCCGCATCGATGAGGGATACAGTTGGGCCACATGATTGTATGAGATTGGGGTAGGTACACTTAGGAATCTTAAGTGGGGTGGGTTAGGAGTGGATGGTGAGAAGAGGGGGTAAGAGAGGAGGACCGCACAGATATCGGAGTGACATCCAGACAACAATATGCCTATAGATGGAAGGGGAAGTGACCGGTCAACAGAGAGAGAGATGTTCTGGTATTTCCATGGCATTACACCTATGAGCAATTCCATTGATATGGTGGGAGATACAGGAGATCATCACATGCGACGGGTAATAAGGTGGGGTGGGTCGCTGGAAGAAGTGGGCAGGTGAACTTGGGTACACAGAGGAGTGCTAGGTTACAACATGGTCCATATTGGGTGAGGCCCAGATGGGGAGCGTCCAAGAGAAGAGATACCAGGATCTTAGAGGTAGTAGAATTGATCGCTAGCAGTCAAACAAGGTCCTCCCACAAGGATATGGGAATTTGTTATAGTCCGACAATTACACATCAAGGTTGAGGGGGAGGGGATTAGAAATTGACCCATGTACAAGACCCCGTGAAGACAAAATAGATGCTAAGTGATGACGAAAACTGTAAATGAGACTAGGGGTAGATTGCGCCTCCCAAAGAAGATGAGGTCCACCTTGGAAATTGAAACACACAAAAAGGATGGGTAAAAGCTACACATAGATATCAAAGAGTCTAGAATGGAATCACACTCTGTGAAAATGAGGCACATCCTGGTTTTAAGGACATCAGGAGAAAGGTTTATTATTGATGGTGTAGAAGTCCCATAAAGACAAGAAATACCTGTCCCCTATCGAATGAAAAATATCTCGTGGGATCGACTCCCATTGGATAGCTGATCAAGAGCAAGTGCCCCTATCGGGTAGAACGTTCTTATACATCAAGATGAATTGAGGTGGATTTTTGACAGGTGGGAACAGAGGTCAGTGAGACCAATTGAAAAAGAGCTATTATTGGAAAGTAGATGAGGGTGGGGGGTAGTAATTTTTCCTTCTGTACAGAGAGAATAGAAGGTGAAGTACCAGATCTATCCCGAAAAGATGTTGGGGAAGTTTGAAGGATGTATGTTGAATGAAGAAACTCTTCAGAGGATAGTCACAAGTTTATGAAGTAGGGCAGACAGGTAAGGGAAAGTAATTAATGAGATGTACAAAGAAACCATGGTAAGCTCTGAAGTAGAGATGAAGGGTATGGGGATTAAGTTAGTGCAAGTGAGGTTAGGAAAATAGTCAATGCTCTGTTGTAAGTAATGGTGGGTTTAATTATGAAAAATTTTGGGAGTGGGGAAATTATGAGATGAAGGGGGGATTGAGGAATGGGGAATAGGGATGGAGAAGATATAGGAGGGGGGGGTTGGGGGGGTATGTGGGGAGGATGTGGTAGGGAAGAAATGGGAGGAGGAATGGAAAAGTTGAGGAATGGGGAAAAAGGTAAGAAGAAGATGAGGGAGATGAATGGGATGGGGAAAGGGGGAATGAATGGGAAAGGGAAATGGAATATAATAGAATATCCTGAGGGTAGGGAGATATGAGAAGATATAGGAGGGGGGGGGAATGGATGGGGAATGTGTTAGGGAAGGAGAATTGTAGGATGAAATGGAAAAGTTGAGGAATGGGGAGGGAAGTGTTAAGAAGAAGATGAGGAGATGAAATTGAATGGAGATGGAATGGGGGAAAGGTTTAGGTGTGGAAAATGGGAGGAGGGAAATTAGGAGGATATAATAGGATGGATGGGGAAAGGGATGGGTATTGGGGATAATAACACTGGGGGGATTAGGGAATGAATAGGGTGAGGGCAAATTACGGAATTGTGATGCTGCCATGGCCTAGGAGAAGATATATGTGGGAGGGAGGGGAAAATGTTAATGGGATATACGCCTCCCATTGCTGCTGAAATGGGAGGTGAATGCCACACTCTGGAGATGTGGACTTTCAGGTCTCCTCACACTGCTGGGTGGTTCCATTTTTTTGTCATAGGGTGCTGGCAGATTACGGGCCTCCCATAGCTGCTGCCAAGGCCCCTAATCTGCCATGGGCCCCTTATACCCGCCTCCTCATGCTGCTGCCAAGGGGGGAGTCTCTCATGGGTCCCTGTACGGCCTCCCATTGCTGCTGTCTCCATCGCCACACTCTGCCATGTGCCACTTTCAGGTCTCCTCACACTGCTGGTGTGTTCCAATTTTTTTGACATAGGGTGCTGGCAGATTACGGGCCTCCCATAGCTGCTGCCAGGCCCCTAATCTGCCATGGGCCCCTATATACCGCCTGCCTCCTCATGCTGCTGCCAGGTCCAAGTCTCTCATGGGTCCCTGTACGGCCTCCCATTGCTGCTGTCTCCATCGCCACACTCTGCCATGTGCCACTTTCAGGTCTCCTCACACACTGCTGGTGTGTTCCATTTTTTGTCATAGGGTGCTGGCAATTACGGGCCTCCCATAGCTGCTGCCAGGCCAGGCCCGTAATCTGCCATGGGCCCCTGTACCGCCTCCTCATGCTGCTGCCAGGTCCACAGTGTCTCATGGGTCCCTGTACGCCTCCCACTTTGTCTCCATCGCCACACTCTCCATCCACAGGTCTCCTCACACACTGCTGGTGTGTTCCATTTTTTGACATAGGGTGCTGGCAGATTACGGGCCTCCCCATAGCTGCTGCCAGGCCCCTAATCTGCCATGGGCCCCTATAATACCGCCTCCTCATGCTGCTGCCAGGTCCAGAGTCTCTCATGGGGTCCCTGTACGGCCTCCCATTGCTGCTGTCTCCATCGCCACACTCTGCCATGTGCCACTTTCAGTCTCCTCACACACTGCTGGTGTGTTCAATTTTTTGACATAGGGTGCTGGCAGATTACGGGCCTCCCATAGCTGCTGCCAGGCCCCTAATCTGCCATGGGGCCCCTATACCGCCTCCTCATGCTGCTGCTGCCAGGTCCAATGAGGTCTCTCATGGGTCCCTGTACGGCCTCCCCATTGCTGCTGTCTCCATCGCCACACTCTGCCATGTGCCACTTTCAGGTCTCCTCACACACTGCTGTTGCGTTCAATTTTTTGACATAGGGTGCTGGCAGATTACGGGCCTCCCATAAGCTGCTGCCAGGCCCCTAATCTGCCATGGGCCCCTATATACCGCCTCCTCATGCTGCTTGCCAAGTCCAGAGTCTGTCATGGTGTCCCCTGTACGGGCCTCCCATTGCTGCTGTCTCCATCGCCACAAATCCCTCCTCTGCCATGTGCCACTTTCAGGTCTCCTCACACACTAGCTGTGTGTTTTCCGTTTTTTGACATAGGGTGCTGGCAGATTACGGGCCTCCCCATAGCTGCTGCCAGGCCCCAAATCTGCCATGGCCCCCTATAACCGCCTCATGCTGCTGCCAAGTCCAGAGTCTGTCATGGGTCCCTGTACGGCCTCCCATGCTGCTGTCTCCATCGCCACACTCTCCCATGGCCACTTTCAGGTCTCCTCACACTGCTGGTGTTGGGTATTCCTATATATGTCCATTTTTTGACATAGGGTGCAGTGCAGATTACGGGCCTC